CCAAGCCACCACATCTATTAATCAAACTCATATATGTTGTTTATCTTAGTGTTAATTGAATTAAATCAAATCAAACTTAAAACCCCCCTTATTACTATTTATATAGAAGAAAAGTATTCCTTTCCCTGTGGATACGAACCTTACTTCGCTATACTACGTAATAGTGTTGTATTGATAAAATATTTTGAGTGCACCTCACAACAAGTGCACGTCATGATGCTTCCACCTCTGACCAGGTTCCTGCCTCCACTTTAGGTACACTGTTTGATCACTTGTGCTACCTGATTGTACCGTACCATTCTCTATATCAATTTCTTATGTTTGGTGCGCTTTTGCAGGTGGCCTTAACATTTTAACCTCCTTGACTGGAAACAAGGGGGTGTGAGGAGGAAAACTCAACCCTCCGGGGGAGTAAAACATACTGAACCTTCCCCCAACGACTCCTCGTCTTCCTCCGAAAGGGCTGATGAAGATGATCATGCTGTTGGTGATGGAGGTGGACAACAGGATGATGCCGTAGCCCAAGGAGATTCTGCTGCAGGCACCCATAATGCCACGACATCTGGTGGTGAAGTCATGGGTAAGCCCAATGCCGCGGTGTAACACCCCAGCCTCGTAGGACCTGAGGTAGTTACTCCTACACAACTTCTAGACCTCTAGTACTGCCCTCACAAACCGCCACTAGCCTTTTCCGCGCACTTTGTCCTCACTCGTGCGCGCCCTGAGAAACTTCCCAGGGGGTCACCCATCGCAATACTACTCCTGTAACACCCCTAAATTTCCCGCCCAAAACATTGATATATTTAAAAGAAATACTTTATTCATTCATCAAAGAGTTGAAGAAATACAGCGGAAGTTTAAAAGGGAAATGAGTGTTACCGCCACATTCGGTCATCTCTTAACCGAATGCACAGGCAACTCAAAGTAAATCCATAAAAACTAATGTAATAATAAGTAAATGTTTGATTTATGACTAGATTTAACTAAGGCATCTTCTAATTCGCACTCAAGCTCGAGCAATCCGTCAATCCACATAGGTATCCAACTCATCACCTGATAAAATTTAAGGGAGAAGAGAGAGACAAGAAAAATAACAAAAATTAGCTTTAGAGCTAAGTAAGTACTACCCAACCCCGTAAAATAATCAGGTTTGGCTAAAAATAGATTTTTATATAATAATATATAAAAATACTCACACCATCAAAATTCTTTTCACTTTGATTTTTCTCAAACTACTTCTTTACAAAAATGCTCAACTTCTCTTTAAAACTTCATAATAACTCTTCTCTTTGATTTCCTAAAAAAAAATCACTTCTTCTCTAACTTCCTAGTAATTTAGAAGGGCGGTGCTTAACCTTTCGGTAGAGCCCGGTGGACCGTGGTTACGGACGGCCACCCCGAACAAGTGCCGGTACCACAACTGCTCTGTTGGAAACGAAACGACTACCTTAAGTGTGCACACCCCCTAAAAGGGATTCCAAGCCCTCCGAGTAGTAAGTCATCCCGAGTGGTCGGAACCCAACCACCCCAATTCTAAAATTCTTGAATGATTAGGGACTACTACTATAACTTCTTCTTAAAAGGGATCATAGATCCAAATCTCACTTAAAAGGGATCATAGATCCAAATCTTACTTAAAAGGGATCATAGATCCAAACTGTACTTCTTAGTAGTAGTAGCTCTAATCACCCTCCACATTTATCCGGATGTGGAAAAACCGACACCTCGGATTACTCCCGAGATGCTATCTTCTTATGAAAATGTAAATTTTATCTTCGCTTAATAATACTTCAAAAATACTTCTTAATTTCTCTAAAAAATCTCGAAGGTGTTTAAAAATATTTAATACTCCAAAAGTACTTGGTTTATACTTCTTAACCACTATATATATAATATCTCCTCAAAATCACATACACAAAATTCACAATTCACACTTAATCACATAATGCATATAATAAGCATATAATACGAGGAAACAATTTTGGATTGGCAGAGAAACTTACCTTACGTCCTGATGCCCCTAGTTATCCTCCTCTAATCCAGTCTCTAGATAATCACCTTTTTAATTAAATATGATAAATTAGTCACTTATTCTATTTGTAATTACTTTACCCGATTTTCCCCTTTTTTATTCTTTTATTCGAATTTATTAATTTAATTAATTAATTATTCGAGTTAATCACTTTTATTAATCAAATACCTTATTAATTTCGTCATTAATTACAATATTTGAATTCTAAACCTAAATAAAATATCCGAATATTATTGACTACAACATCCAATTTTTATTCAATAATCACCATTAATTTTCTCTAATTATTATCTAATTACTTTATTTACATAACCGAATATATTTATTTTCCTTATTTTATTCAAACATTATTTTTAGTCCAGAATATTATTTTTCAACCTCACTGATTTATTTATTTCAACCTTAATATTAATATTTCCTTATTTAATTACTTAACTAGTCTTATATGGCCTAATTTAAATAAATAGACTAAGAATCGACTTTATAAATTAGTAACCGTCTATAACTATATTTTGGGTCTATATTTGACCTAGGTTGTCCAGATATCTATTTTATAATTATTTTCCATAATTATTCCCTTAATTTCATATATCTATTAATCGGTTTAATTACAATTAAATATACTAAACCTTATTTTTATTAATTATAAATGGTCCATAAGGTCCTAGTTAGTCATATATTTATCCTAGTTTACTCCAATATTTATTTCATAATTATTTTCGTCATTTAGTTAATTATTTACTAAAAGTGTATAAATTGGCCCAATTACCATTAAATCAATTAAAAATAGCTAAAAATATTATTTTCCAATTCTGGTTGGTCCGAATATGTATATTTATACTAGGTATTTAATTTATATTTTTCCAGATTTTATTTATTTCATTTACTATTTTATTTTTAATTTTTATTGAAACTGGGCCGAACTGGCCCAAATTAAATTTTCTGGCCCAATCCTGAAAAAGGCCCAAAAGACAGACCAGCTGGGTCTTCTTCTTCTTCCCCAGGTCGCCGGAAAAACGGGGAGAGAGAAAAAAAACGGGGAAAGAGGTTTTACCTCGTCGGAAACGCCCAACGGGGTAGCGGTGCACTCCTCTCGGGACGGCGAATGACGGTGGTGGGTTGGCGGCAGTGGCAGCTCCTCCCTCTTCTACGTTTTCCGTCGAAAAGCTTTTCTCCGGCGAAACTCCGGAGAGGCTTTTCTCCCTCGTTTCACGACCGTTTTCGACGATTCTTTTTCCGTTGGATTCGTATCACGAAGGGGAAGGTTTGAGAAGTATTTTCAAGGCTTGGTTCTGGCTAAAACGCTGGGTCGCAATTTTTATATATATATACGTATATGTGTATGTATATTTCGTAGTTTTTTTTTTGGGATGAAGAAAACGTAGGTTCTGGCCTATTATTTATAGGGAAAGATGAGGGTTTTAGGCTGAGATGTTAGAGTTGGAGTTAAATTTTGATTCTTTTGCACCTTTATGAGTATTAGGAGTATAATTGTTATATGATTAGTATTACTAATGTACGTATGTAGGAGTATACTCCTAATACTAATGTTAGTATTTGAGTATAATTAGTATTACGTATTTATATATCTATTAGGAGTATAAGTAAGTAGTTAGTTAGGAGTGTTATACTTACGTAGGTTTTTATATTATTTCCGTACTTAGTTTATATATCATAGGAGTATATATATATATATATATATTATACGTACTTAGTTTATTTATCGGACCATTTTTATCAGACTAAAAATGTCGTAAATGTAAATTTTCTGTCTGGTTCACTTGTTTACTAAAATGTTGTTCTTATTACTGAAGTATTTTTATCTGACTACAACGTCATAAATTTTGAAAATTTTATCTGATTAAAATGTCACATCTGTTGAATTTTTGTCTGACTCAATTATTTATAAAAATGTTATTTTCGTAATATTTTATCTGACTAATAAAAATTATTTTTATTTTTATTTAAATTTTTGGAGTGTCACATTCTACCCTCCTTAAAAGATGTTTCGTCCCGAAACATAAACTAAAATAATCAAATTCTTAAGTATTACATTCTATTTTTATTTTTATTTAAATTTTTGGAGTGTCACAACTCCCGTGCAAGCACGCTTAACTTTGGAGTTATTAGCTAATGAGCTCCCTTACAGGAGATGCACCTTGTTGACATGAGTAATACTATTTAATCCTCTTAAATTAATCTCGTGTATTACAATCACCCCCACTTAGGATCGCAACGTCCTCGTTGCGCCCTTAACACTCTCAATATAACCCCAGAATCTTGCCCCGTTAAGTGCCCGTCCGATTTCCAACGGGTCAACACACTGTCGCAGGGTTGCTCTGATACCACCTGTAACACCACGGCCTCGTAGGACCCGAGGTAGTTACTCCTACACAACTTCCAGACCTCTAGTACTGTCCTCACAAACCGCCACTAGCCTTTTCCGCGCACTTTGTCCTCACTCGTGCGCGCCCTATTAATAAAAAATTAAATAAATCAAAACCTATGAAACGTTAGGTCCTAAATTGATAGTTTTCCATCATTCGGATCCTATACTGATACGTTTCATCTTTCGGGTCCTGAATTGATAATTAATCTATCTTTCGAGTCCTGAATTGAAATTCCTTATTTTTTCTAATGACAGGTTGAGGTGACTACTTCCGGGGACAATGAAATAGATCATATCAAAAGGGATGTGGATGGAAGTAATGGATAAGAATCGTAAGATGGAAATGGAAATGGTGAATATGGGTGATTATGAATATGGAAGATGAGGATGAAAGAAATAAGAAAAGATGAAAGAGGAGAGTGAACGGTGTGGAGTGTGGACGAAAGGTGTGGGACAGTCGGACAGAGGGTAAGAAAATGGTAAATTTTAAGTAGTTGTTCAACTCTTCTTTTTTCCATCATATGTTTATCGACAGAACTGACCTAAAACCCTAACAATGGGTGAAAGGAAGCCCGCGTTCTTCAAGGTTTTGACCGACGGCTTTGCCACTCACCTGGTAATTTCCGCCCTATCATTCTCTTTTTCCTGCTCTTTTTTCCCCCCAAAATTAATGTCGATTTTTATCTTCTTTTTGAAGAGGTTGCCGCCTTTGTTTATCTACAAGTTTAGGAACCGGTTGCCGGAATCTCCGGCTCTGACGGTAGGAACTGAGGAAGAGTGGCGTGTGAAGATGGAGGAGGTTGGGGAGGCCCAGTGTTTCACCGAAGGCTGGTCCGAATTTGTGAAGGACCTGCATTTGGAGCTCCACAATTTTCTGGTCTTTTGGTTTGAATCCCCCTCCAAATTCTTGGTTGAAGTTTATAATGAAGATGGCTCTGCTAAGATTCTTGATCATCTTCTCACTAAAGGTAAAATGTACCATAGTCTCTTAGCTAATAGCTGTACATGTGGTAAGACTTTGTTATCGCAATTGGTGTATGCAAAAGTTTACTTTTCTAGGCCAGGCCAAGCTGATCTTGACCTTATTGGGTAAATGAGGATTACTTTTTCTTTCTGGACTTGGGATGATGTCTACTGTCTAGTCGTTTGACTTGGTTAAACCACCAAAAGGCATACTCCATCCCTCTCATATTCGGGTTTACCTGGTTTCAAGTTTAAAAGATAAGGGAATAAAAGATTGATTTTATTTAATTAACTTATATCAAAGTGGTTTATTTTAGACTAGAAATAATTACGGAGTATTATTATAGTTAGATCTTGTATTCCTGTACAGTTTTTTTTCTTTTTTTCTCACCTCTAAATATAGAAATAATTTATATGGTGAAGATCACTCTTCTGCTGGTTTCTTTTTCTCAATATCTACGCCCCAAATAAAAAAACCCAGCCACCTTATTATCATAGTCTGGGGTGGGAAAAACCGGACCGAAACCCGGAACCCGACCCTGACCCGACCCGAATAATGTTCCCGGTCCGGGTTTTTTTCTTTTTAACCAACCCAAAAAATAAAAACCCGGACCCAACCCGATTATTCGGGCTCATGAACGGGCTCTAAAATTTATAACCCGGCCTGGACCGATAAAAATCCGAAACAATTAACTTTATTTTAAAATCAATAATATATATGAATCTAATTTATAAATATTCCTAATATATGATTATAACCATAATGGATGAAAAAATGATTTAGTAACTTTTAGTGACTACAAATATGTTCAATTTTGTATACTTGTAATGATCATGAAAATATATTTATAGTAATTTTAGTCACATTTTATCCACAAATTTTATTTAGGATTTTTTTAGAAAACCTGTAATCCGTATTATTTATTTATATGCATCTTAAACAAATTACTCGTATTAAGATAATTATCTTTGTTGGGTTTGAATTGTTGGTCATTTTGGAGACTTATATTTGTATTATTATTTGCGGTTTGTATTTTTGATTAATTTTGTTTGAAAATAGGTTTTAAAATATAAAACAGAAAAATGAAATGATTTCACGTTCAGGCTTTAACCGGATCAACCTGAAACCGGACCGAACCTGGTCTATCAAAACCAGCGGCGGATCTAGCATTTACGTTCAGGTGGGGCCAAAATTTAATCAAATAACGTATATTATAAAAAATGTCAAAATGTAATGTCAAAATGTAGTACAGTATAATAATATCTTAGAAGTCAAAATGTAAATTATAGAAATGTCAAAGAATAAATTGAATATTACAGAACCGACAATACAATTATCTTAAAAGTCATAGATATCGAACCGAAGTTTTATCGGTTACCCAAATGTTTAGTGCCAACTTTTAGGTTAGTTTCTCAGAAACGAGATAAACCGATTTTTTTAATCTAAAATCTACTCTATGTAAAGAAAACTTATTTTCACCTACGAAATCCAATGTATTCAACTAATTAATTTTTTGGTCAATATTCAAAAGTCCAATAAATAAAACTAATTAATTTTTAGGACAATATTCAAAAAGCTCAATCAATTGAACTAATTGGTTTTTCAGACTAATAAAGCCCAATTAGTTGGACTACTTAATTTTTGCATCCTAGTATTCAATAGTTAAAATTCAGACTTGATTTGTGTAAGATAGCATGTTCCTGGACTTGGATGGAAAACAAAAACATGCTACTCCAGCTAGGAATTGAACACATAACCTCTACACTGCATAATCACGCCTCTACCATCACACCAATGTAGCTTTTGTTTACAGTAGGACGTTTGTTCTAATTATACCATTTCTTCACAGTACATATATAATATATATATATATATATATATATACTAGTAATTTTTTTTTGAGGTGGGGCCTAGGCCCTCCCTAGCCCTATGCCAGATCCGCCCCTGATCAAAACCCGACTCGGACCGAATATAATGGGCTTTGTTCCGGTCCCTAATTTTCATAACCCGAGACCTTACGAGTAATTCTCGGGTTTAGCAAAACCCGACCCCTAATCATAGCCCACACCCTTTTCCATTTCTCTATCTTATCTTCTATCCTACTGAAGAAGTCTAGTAATAAAGAGGAGGCAAATCCGTCACAAAAAGGAAATACCATGGCGTATTTAAAAGGTGGACACTGTTAAATGTCAAAAAAGTAAATCCAAATGCAAGTATGGAATAATAAATAATTCAAAAAGGAAACTGAGAACGTTTTATGAAGTGAAGGTAGTTTTTGGTAAATAAGGGTGGTGTTTTGAGGTCAGGTCCAAAGCACTGATACTGAAAGTTATGCGAATTGGATTTTCAAAGTAGTCCATCCCTAACCTGAATTATGAATATTTTACTTTATATTAACTAATTATGTTTAAACTCTTTTGGGACTAAGGTTGTGATGTTGTTGTTGTGGAACTGATTTTGTTTCATTAGATTTTTCATTTTTATTTTAATATCAAGTTGTGTTATTCATGTGATAAACAGTATTTGGAAATACATAAAATGAAATTTAAAATTAACTGGAGTGCAATAACAATAACAATTATTAAGGTTCCAAAAACATTAATGACATACAAACTGAGTTAGTTTAAATGTTGTTTTAGGACATGATGTGACTTCTTAGGGTCAGTGTTGAAGGGCTAAATGTGACTATTAACTTATATTTTAAATTTTATATAAATGTAGGGAATAACATAGGGGATAGTTGGTTAACTTTAATGAATGAGAATGGGAACGTGTTTTAAAGAAAAGGATAATTGGTTTAATAAGCCCCCTTTAAGAGAGGTATGGCTGAATTCCCAGAAGATTGAAATCAAACCCCATAGCGCATTATGTAAAGCATAAACTATCATTCTCATTCCCCAAACTTTCCTATTAAGCATCCCTTTATTCCTTGTAGAATACATTCTATCTATTTAAGAACATGTCTTATTAAGCATTAGGAAAAGTGATTATAATCTTTTACCCTTTATTCCTTGTAGAATACATTCTATCTATTTAGATATGTAATAACTAGCAAGTCATCTGAAAGCATCGCTTGCCAAAAATAAGACAAAATTAGCCCAAATGTCACAAAGAATCTCTATGTTTGACATTTTTATTGAGTTATTTTTTTATACCAATTTTATAGTTTATACTAATAAATTGATGTATTACTCAATTTTGTTGTTTGTTGAAAGGTAAAGTTTCCCCAAAGAAGGCGTATGCTTGTGAAAGTGATGTAGTGCCATTATCATCAGACGTACATGTTAGGAAGAGAAAAGCGGCATCGTTTTCTTTCGAAATGAGACCTTTCAACAAATACAGAGCGGTAGGCAAGATTAGTTTGTTTTCCTTTTTTGGCTTAGAGCCTATTTCGTAGGGTTATCTGCTCAATTTTCTAATAAGAAGAGTGTTCCATATAATCCATTTCAGCCGAATAAGAGAGTAAAAACACTTATTCATTGTGTATTCTGATTGTTATACTGATAAATGCAGCCAAATAAGGCTACCGTATGGGCTTTAAATATACTCTTGATTTTCCTAGAGTCTCTGGACTTCTTTGAATCTGGTGGGTATTAATAATATGAGTTAATGGATATTTGGATCAGAGAATTCCAGCACCTTTCATGAGAGAGACTGGATTGATGGGAATCAAATGCTTGGTACTGAAGGATCCACAGGAAAGGGAATGGCCGGTGTTGATAACTTGCCATGATGGGACCAGCAAGGATAGATGTGATTTGTCAAAGGGATGGACTGACTTCAGAACTCAAAATGGCCTACTTGATGGGGACACTTGCACCTTACACTACCCTGCTGATGGAAGTGAAGAAGAAGAAGAACATGGTGGTGGCTGTTTGATCCAAGTTGAGGTGACAAGAGCAGGTTTTAGGCCATAGCCAATGTTAAGTAGCCAATGTAATAGCTAGCAAGTCATCTAAAAGCATCGCTTGCCAGAAATAAAACAAAATTAGCCCAAATTTTTCATTCATTCATCATTACCCCAGTGCAGCAAAGGCTCCCACCTACAGTGGGGATAAGGGGGGTCAGATGTACGCAGTCTTACCTCTGCACTAAAGCACAGAGAGACTGTTTCCGGATGACCCATACAAAATTAGCCCAAATGTCACAAAGAATCTCTATGTTTGTCATTTTTATTGAGTAATCTTTTTCAGACCAATTTTGTAGTTTATACAAATAAATTGATGTATTACTCAGTTTTGTTATTTCTTGAAAGGTAAAGTTTCCCCAGAGAAGGCATATGCGCGTGATAGTGATGTAGTGCCATTATCATCAGACGTACATATTACGAAGAGGAAAGCCGCGTCGTTTTCTATCGAAATGAGACCTTCCAACAAAAACAGAGCGGTAGGCAATATTAGTTTGTTTCCCTTTTTCTGCTTAGAGCCTATTTGGTAAGGTTATCTGCTCAATTTTCTCATAAAAAGAGTGTTCCATATAATCCACTTCAGCCGAATAAGAGAGTAAAAAACACTTAATCACTGTGTATTCTGATTGTTATACTGATAAGTGCAGTGAAATAAGGCTACCGTACGGGATTTAAATATATTCTTGATTTTCCTGGAGTCCCTGGACTTCTTTGAGTCTGGTGGGTATTAATCAATATGAGTGAATGGATATTTGGAGCAGAGAATTCCAGTAACTTTCATGAGAGAGACTGGAATGATGGGAAGCAAAAGCTTGGTACTGAAGGATCCACAGGAAAGGGAATGGCCGGTGTTGCTATCTTGCCATGATGGGACCAGTGAGGAGAGATGTGATATCACAAAGGGATGGACTGACTTCAGAAACCAAAATGGCATACTTAATGGGGACACTTGCACCTTCCACTATATTGCTGATGGAAGTGAAGAAGAAGACGAAGAAAAAGAACATGGTGGTGGCTGGTTGCTCCAAGTTGAGGTGACAAGAGCAGGTTTTAGGCCATAGCCAATGTTAAATAGCCAATGTATTAACTAGCAAGTCATCTGAAAGCATCCCCCGCCAGAAATAAGACAAAATTAGACCAAATGTTACAAACCAATCTCTATGTTTGTCATTTTCATTGATTTATCTTTTTTATACTAATTTTATTGTTTAAACAAATAAATTGATGTATTACTCATTTTTGTTGTTTCTTGAAAGGTAAAGTTTCCCCAGAGAAGGCATATGCACGTGAAAGTGATGTAATGCCATTATCATCAGACGTACATATTAGGAAGAGGAAAGTGGCATCGTTCTCTATCAAAATGAGACCTTCGAACCAATCAAGAGCGGTAGGCAATATTAGTTTGTTTTCCTTTTTTGGCTTAGAGCCTATTTGGTAGGGTTATCTGCTCAATTTTCTAATAAGAAGAGTGTTCCATATAATCCACTTCAGCAGAATAAGAGAGTAAAAAACACTCATTCACTTTGTATTCTGATTGTCATCCTGACAAGTGCAGCGAAATAAGGCTACCGTACGGGCTTTAAATATATTCTTTATTTGCCTGGAGTCCTTGGACTTCTTTGAGTCTTGTGGGTATTAATCAATATGAGTAAATGGATATTTGGAGCAGAGAATTCCAGCATCTTTCATGAGAGAGACTGAAATGATGGGAAGCAAAAGCTTGGTACTGAAGGATCCACAGGAAAGGGAATGGCCGGTGTTGATATCTTGCCATGATGGGAACAGCAAGGAGAGATGTGATATGACAAAGGGATGGAGTGACTTCAGAACCCGAAATGGCCTAGTTAATGGGGACACTTGCACCTTCCACTACACTGCTGATGGAAGTGAAGAAGAAGAACATGGTGGTGGCTGGTTGCTCCAAGTTGAGGTGACAAGAGCATGTGTTAGGCCATAGCCAATGTTAAGTAGATAGCCATCCCAATAATTGAGCAGACATGCTCTGAGTAAGTAATAATATTAGTTTGACATCAACTCTGAGTTTTGAAACCATCTCAATTTTTGCTCTCCTAGACATGCGCATGGTGTGTGTATGAGAGCAAAAGTGAGTATGTTGGTGTTCATTGTTGTGTATTTTAAGCATTTAATTTGTATACATTATTAATTGCTATCTAATTTGTACACCAGCTTTGTAAACTAACATGCATAAGGCAAGACTTCTGGTATGAACTTCTAAGATAAAAGTCAGCTTAGCCTTAGCTTGGACAGGGTAATGAGTATTAATAAACTTTACTCGCACATGTGCATAACCTTATCACTCATCAGCAGTGTTGAACACTTGAACTAAATAAGTAGTGTTGCATTAAAATATTAAATGAGCAAGGATTCAAATGATTTTTGTACTTTTGTAGATGGAAGTTGATAGACAAACTAGGCAATTAGAAAAACTACTTTTATAGTTTCATACCTGAAGTGTGTCGTATGTGCCTTGTTAACTAATTAAATACGATGGTAATAATGAGTACAGATCTGGTCAGTTGGATTTTTGATGATTTTTTTTGAACATGTGCTTCAAGTGTAGAACGTTTTCACAAAACTTCAGCTTAAAATTCAATCGGGAAGTCAAATAAATAAATTATTAAAAAACACGGCGCTTTATGTGTATATATAATTAAAGGGCAATCCATTAGCCAATCCACTTTATATAGAAATTAACACACATAATTCACATAAGAGAAAAAGAAGACAATACCTTTGGCGGTGTAGGTGAAAGAATGTGGTGAATGGGCATGGAGTTTCATCCGTTATACTTAGCAGGACGGCAGAAAGTAGCAAGGTTAGAGTCTATGAGTCAAAAAACGGACAAAGAGATGATAAAGGAGCTGGTGGATGAAACTATGAAAGGTATTCTATAAAAAATTGGATTTAAAGGAGGGAAGTTGCAAAAGAAAGAAAATAAAATATAGGGAAAACTGTCAAATAGGTCCTTGAACTTTCATAAAAAAGTCAATTAAGTCCTTCTATAGGTGACTCTGTCCGGTCGTCGCGATTTGGGGCGGTTCCCGATGGAATTTTTTGATGAAATTTTTTGAGCATCTTATTCATCAAGTCTAGTTTACTCATACCGGTATTTCAGCTAAAAATTTAATCGGGAGCGCATTCAAATTAATTCGAGAACGCAAAAATGCGCAATTATCTTCAAGAATTAATTTGAATGTGTTCTCGATTGAAATTTTAGCTGAAATTTGGTATGAGTAAACTAGACTTGGTGAATAAGATGCTCAAAAAATTCATCAAAAAATTCCACCGGGAACTGCCCCAAATCGCGACGGCCGGACAGAACCTCCTATATATAGAAGAACTTAATTGACCTTTTTATGAAAGTTCGAGGATCTATTTGACAGTTTTCTCTAAAATATATAAGGGAGAAGACTGGGGTGGAGGATCGCACGAGAAGGGAAAGTGAGTGGTTGACATGGTGCGAAATAAAAAGTGGTAAAATGGAAAAGTAAAAAATGCGACTTATATAGTTATATAGGTTGTACACCCGTGTAGAAAAAGTGTGTACAAGTCATTCGACATGGTTGTACACATTTTTTTACACGTCATTTGACACGTTAGTTGAATTGTCTATGCATGGAGAATTTCTTTTCATTTTGATAAAAGAATTGCTTTTCGTTCTGATAATTTCTTTTCATGGATAATTTTTCGTTAGTGTGAAAACTATTCATTTCACAAAACGAAAATAAATTATCCATGCACAGACAATTTAATTGACATGTAAAATGACATGTACAATATACGTGTACACAAAGCGTAAAAAATATTCGTATTTCTTGAATATTAAATAATTCTTGTTTCGAATTATTGCTACACAATGAAACTCATGAGTATGCATTATCACTCATAACCAGGAGGTAACATGGATGTCCCGTTACAAACCGGATAATAGGTTGTGAGTATGACAAATCAACTCATACGTGACCGGTTGACTTGTGAGAGCATATACCATATAGCCGGTTGTACGGCGCTCACCGTATAACCGGATATTTTATCTTAAAAGAAATGAGTATAACGTTTAAAAAAAATGAGTATTAGTGTTAAATATGTATATTGGTAATGCAGTTGAGTATTCGAAGCATGTAATTGAGTATCATGATCTACACGTAATGTATATGCTACAAACCAATTTATTTATTTAACTATATTATCATGTACACTCATTAAAATATTTATTGTCCTAATTTTATAATTCAATACCAATGCTCATTTCTTTGAAATGTTATGCTCGTTTCTTTTAACATGAAATACCCGATTGTACAGTGAGCACCGTACAATCAGGTGTACGGTATAATTTGCCCCGACTTGTCCTTCACATTCTGTTTGTCAAGAGAAGTGAGAGCTAGAGAGAAAGTGTTTGTAATTAATATTGCTCAACCTCTGCAATTATCCCTGAGGGGAGTATTTATAGAGAAAATGTAGGTTGGGCTCCCAGGTCTTAGGCCTGGGAGGCCCGATACAATATTGGGCCGCTAATGGGATGATTGCATGATTCTAAAACTAAGTAAGAACATAAGCTACTGATAAAGGCCTATGGCCGAGGGAGCCATGGCCGTGGGAGGCCCTGGCCTAAGGACTCCAATATAAGGAGAATCCCTTTGTTCCAGTTTCCTGATCTTGAACGCCTGGGTCGTTGTGTGGGACTGCCTCGTATGGACGAGGGGTCCAGTCGGGTGTCAGGTATCTTGTGTGTCTTCTGAGTGTGTGAGCCATGAAGTCTAGGCCCATATACTCTACCAATATATATAGATTTTGGTTACGGTGAGAAGTTGATCTAATATGAGATATGAGAAGATTTTTCCGCCGTTAGATCTATATAAATCTTACATTAGTAGCATGGGTGGTTTTTGTTAGTTCCCTTTTTTCTACGTATAATAATGTATGACAGCTCTCAAGAATAATGGAACTTGTCTTTCATTAAAGAAGAATGTTTACATAATGATATGGAACTGATGAGCATAAAACTTTCTCTCCTCTCTCACTCAGAATGAATATGTGCGCACGAATAACAGTTAGAGGCATGTGAAAGTTGTCACATCCCATTCCCTTTTAAGGGAGTATTTGTATGCCTAGGGAATGGGGTGGTCATTATGTCTAGGTTGATTGAGCCTTTAATAAAGAGCCCCAAGATCACACCTTACAAATATTTAATGTAGCTAGTCTAATTAAACTGAAATAATTACAACAAGAGATAGCTAATAAAAAAACACCGATCACAATAAAATATCTTCTAACATTCTCCCTGTTGTGATCAGATGTCCTTCATTTCAGCTCTTATTCATTTCTGCATCTTGAAGTAGTTTCTCCTTAGTGCTAGAGCATGTTCATATTGGCAGAATGATCGTCACTTGTCAAGTCATTCGTTGATAGCACCTTGGTTATTCTCCCATGTTCTTTCAACTCTTCTTTTGTAGCGTCTACAAGTTTGAGTTTGATCTCTTTCTCTTTTGGTAGCAGTTGATGTCGAATGATCTTCAGAGTCCCATCACAGAATTTGGCAACCTCATCCAACAACATTAAACGCTTCTTTTCTTCATGTTTATGGTATTTAAGGTCCTTCTTCCTTTTAGGCAGTCTGCGGCCTTTTATGAGATGTCCCAACTTTCCATAGTTAAAGCACTTGGGAACATCCTCAACATTATCTCAGGAGTGTCAAAAGGTCTTTCTTTTCGTTTGGTACTGGTTGAGGACATGCAAAGTCTGTTGGAAGAGAAGTTTTTCTTCTCCAAGATTCTGTTGTTAATCCTAGAAGTTATGAGCGCAAGCTGTTTCTGAAAGTCCATGAGTTCATTCTCAGAAAAATCTTCATCTTCTTCTTCTTCTTCACTTTCATGAAAAATCACTTCCATCTTCTTGTTCTGAGTTTGAAGCAGATTTGGAGGGTCTGTTAAGCATTAAGGCCAACATGTCAGCCAATGTGTCAACCACAGACTTTTCCTTTTTCTTCACCAACAGTGTCTGAGAAATCATTTGCATATTGATCAAGGGTGTTGTACACTGCATGAATATCCATTTCCTCCAGATCTTTGTTCAGTATATTCAATTTCAGTCTTCAGCTTTTGAGTGTCTCTAACTGGGGGATTACTATCTGGGTTTCTAGGAACAACAATCCATAACTGTGCTGGTCCATTCTTGATAGGGTCCAACAAGCCTGATGAGTGATTCTTTCTCTCCAAGAAATTCAGAAAATGATTCTCCCATACCATATGCTCTCACCTCCGTAGAATTGGTGGCCTTGTGTCATTTCCAATTGATAGGGCATCCATGGTTGAGTGATCATCTAGGTAGTATGATCGCAATAGTTGAACAGTTCTGAGCACAGGGAGACTTGAAAACCTCCCTGGTTACAATTTCATAAAAGAAAGATGGTACTTTCCTTATGGATACAATTCTTACTACGCTATATTACATTATTAGCGCGAAATGTTTAGAGGTACATAATCTTTTGGGAACCTAATTTACCGTACTTAAATTTTTGTTAGCTCTCAATTGATATTTGTTACACCCCGCCCCGTAGGGCCCGAGGTAGTTACTCCTACACACCTTCCAGACATCTAGTACCATCCTCACAAACCGCCACTAGCCTTTTACGCGCACTTTGTCCTCACTCATGAGGACCCTGAGAAACTTCTCAGGGGGTCACCCATCCCAAGACTACTCCTGTGCAAGCACGCTTAATTTTGGAGTTCTTGGATGATGAGCTCCCTTAAAAGGAGATGCACCTTGTTGGTATGAGTAGTACTATTAATCCTCTTAAATTAATCTCGGGTATTACAATATTAGAGCGAGGGTTATAGATATCGTACTTAACTATACCTAGTGACTAGTGATTTGGACTTTTGTGCATATCGTGTGTCGTATTTGAGCCTTATGTGAACTCTACATTGTTGGTAGAAAATAGCTTGAGAGAGAAAGAGACAGCACTTCAATATAGTAAAAATAACATAGAGATTACATGGGTGGGGGGTGATGGCCTATTTATAGGCATCCATCACAAGTTCAAAGTCTAATCTACGTGGGCTTGGCCCAAATTAACAATATGTACCAAAGCTAACGGGCCAGCCGGCCCGATAAATAAGTGACATGCACTTTGTCGTAGTGTGCTTCAAATTAAATTCACTTTTAAAGGCTAATATCGTAGTATAGCGTAGTAGAGTTCGTATCCACAGGGAAAGATGCTTTTCTCGTATGTGTAAGCGTAATAAATAAAAGTAAATGGAAGGGGGAATTGGATATTTTGATAATTGAGAAAGC